TTCAAGGAACACTCTAGGAGCAGGCAAGTTCAGAGAGGGGAATCTCTTTATCCTGTAGACTCGGCGATGTGATCAGAATTCGTGGTGGAGCTGGACGTTGTTGGGTTCCATATTCAAGACCATTCGCAGTTGCTGCAAATTCCTTTTGTTAATTGGATCAGTTATAAGATTTTGAAAAAATTTTTCAACAGCAATAGCGTACAGCAACAATGTGGTTTCTTGAGCAATCGCCTCATACACTACGATGTCAAATCGAGAGCCTCACACTCACTGCAAAACATCACGTTTCATGCTGCTAATTTCTTGATGGAAATCTTGCAATAAGTGCCCAGAATGCTTATCCGAGTCGAGATTCACGAGAAATTTTCACTATATTAAGTCATGTTATACGTACATATAGGCAGGTGGTGATTTACCTAGACAAGACCAGGTGTGTGTTGTGTGGATTTGTGCGTGTTTTTGGTGCATATTTGTGCGTATGTGCGTACATGGAGGAGTATCAATTGAGCTGATTATTGAGGCATTGTGCGGCAATTTCTGATGAAGGCGTTTGATATGGCTGCATTCGTAAATTTCTAGCTTCCCAGACGCTTTGACTGTCGGGATTCCAGATTTTTGAGCAACAAGAACAACAACAATAACAACAATTTCTTTTCGCATACTCTCGGTTCGTCGGCTGCAGTCAAAAATCCGGTTTATAACGATAATAAGAAGTGCACTGACTTGTGGTGTTCGGTATTGTTTTGGTGGTGCCATTGTCCACAAAGCCACGCTGTTTTCGATGCATATTCAGTGAGAGTACACGACGTCTTTGATGTCTTCGAATCAAGAAGTAAAAAACACAGATTAGAAGTGTCACCGCAGCAAGACAAATCAGCACGCCCATCACACCCAATACTATCGGATTGATATTCTCCAGATGAAGAACCATCTTCGTCTTATCGACGTCACTTCTTTACAATCGTTTCGGTGCGTTTTTAAGATTCCTTTCACGCTCGTCTCGTCCCGTTTCGATTCAGTTCGATTGCTGTGATTTTACTCGGTATTTTTCGACGATTGGATTTCTTCCCTTTTTATCTCATTAAGTTTCCTTGTTGAAAAGCCACTTTGATTGATGAATATGATATTATTATGATTGCCAATATTTTTGTTGTAGTTGATGTTGTTGCTGCTTTATTCAAAAATCTGATCCAAGATCGATTAGTTGATGGTCGATTCGATCGATCGATCAGTCAGAGTCGTGGATGATCTGACAAATCATGCATCTGAATCAACATCCAAAACAGCGACAAACAAAACCGAAAGGATGCGAAGAATACGGAATCGAGCATGGCAATCGTGAGTCGTGATAAGCAAATCGACCGAAAACATTCACCGTCGGTTTTCAGCGAAATTGGAGCAAACAAATGATATTAGATAAGGAAATGTGCCAGGTGGTACGGCGG